TGGACCATAGCTCTTCACTAAATCTGGGCTGGAGGTGAGGGGGTGACCCTGGGACTGCAGCTAACTACTCAGACCCCCTTGATTAGTGGTCTCTTCCTTCCCTACCTTGGCCCCAAACTGGCCTTGGTGACTGATTCCCTACCTGTTCTACTGACCCATGGGCCACAACTCCAGGTCATGAAGGCAGGATTCAAAGGCCCCCAACTATGGCTAGGGAGAAAGCTGGCTGGTACATGTAAGGGAGGCTGAACCCTGCCCACATGGCCTAACACAGGTAGAACCTGGGTCTGCAGGGCAGTCAGGCTGATCTTGAGAGGGGCCGTGGGGAAGGGCAGGGTATGAGGAGAGCTGTGATGCTTTCCTGTTCCCAAGCCCACTCTCTGGGAAGTAGAGGTCAGCCAAGGGGCTTTCCTAGTGACCACAGGCATGCCCTACTGGGTCTCTGTCTGCCCTGTTTCGTGCTGCCCAGGCCTGAGGGCAGGTCAAGCTGAGGACACCTGTCTACTCCTACTCACCTCTCTAGCCAGTGCCTGACCATCTCCAGAGTGCTTTTGGGCACTGGGCTGTTGTGGGTCCCAGCTATGGCCCTGTAGCTCCTCAGGGGCCCTGGTCAGACTGCCTTCCCATTCCATGGTCAGGGTCAGGTAAAATCCATGGCAACATGGACAGAGCTGGCCTCTCATCCTTGGCACCTCTGTAGGGCAGCCAGGGCTCTGTTGTTTGCAAAGCTCTATCATTTGAATCTTGTAGCAACCCCAAGTGGGAGGTGTTGTAAGGCTGCTTGTGAGTTACTCACACTCTCAATAGCAAGAGCAAATAGAGAGAGTGCTAGCTGTGTGCCAGGTACCATGCTGAGCTCTGTGAGAGCATCAGCTCCTTTCATCCCCATAGTGACTCTGCGAGGGAGGCCAGGCAGTCACAGTGACCATCTTCATCTCACAGATATGGAAACTGAGGCTCAGAGAGGTCATATGACCTGTCTGCGCTGTTGGGGAGTAAACCTTGAGCCTCTGCTTGTCAGCCCTCAGCACCTCAGTGTCCTCAGTCACAGGTAGCCAGCATTTACAGACAGCTCTGAGGCTGCCTAGCTCAGGCACCGGTGAGGGGCTGAGTCTGGCCCCCAGCCCTGCTTTCCCTGATGAGGAAGCTCTACTAGCTGCCCCCAGGGCCCTCACTATCCACAGTCTGAGGCCCAGTGGGGGCCTATTCGGTGCTAAATTCTGTGTGGTAGAATCCAGACATCCAAGGAGCATCGTAAAGGTGGCTTGCAGAAAGGGGCCTGCTCCTCAGGGATTCCCGAGGTCCTGGGGAGGGGTCTCTACCTGTGTATTCAGGAAAGCAGATGGTCAGCGGGGACTTCTTGATCTTCTCCTCAAATATGTCCTTCTTATTAAGAAACAGGATGATGGACGTGTCTGTGAACCATTTGTTGTTGCAGATGCTGTCGAAAAGCTTCAGGGATTCGTGCATGCGGTTCTGCAACAGAGCGGAGGGGCGAGTGAGGGGTGGCAGCGCCCAGGGCCCTGACCCACCGCAGCCAATGACACAGTGGGACAAGCCAAGGGAAGGTCCACCAGTGCGGCTGAACACGCCACTGGGACAGAGACGGGAGGGTCCACAGGACAAACAGGACGTGGTCCCTGCTTCATTCCACACGCAGGCAGGGTGGGGCAGAGTAGGGTTGAGGGTAGGGGAAGGCTGCCCCCTTTCAGAGCTGGCCTGGGCGGGGGCAGTGAGGTCACCGGAGAGGCCCCAGTGCATGGAGAGGACATGCACCATGCATGTAGAGGGCAGGGGCCGCAACCACCACCGAACGCGCCTACACGGAACCGCAGGTCATGCAGATTTCTCTACAGGGGTGTCATTCGGTTTCGACAGCGAGGTTGGGAGGGTGCACGCATTCAGTTGGGAAACATTAACCGAGGACTAAGAGATCCTCGAATTAATCCTGAGTTGGAAGCAGATACCAGGGGGACAGCGTCTTGGGGGTGATCTTGCTGTGGCCTTAGTGTGTGACTAGACGGTTTGGTTGGTTGGCTGAGCCATGGCTGGGGCCAGAGAGGCTCTGGGAGTACTGGTTGATGGAGCTGGTTTCTCGGTAGAGGGGCCAGAGGAACCCCAAGATGAAACACAGCAAAATAGATTAAAACAGAGAGGAAAATAACATGAGAGAAAGAGAAAGGAAAAAATTGAAAAATCGGTTTAACCAGTCTCAGGACATCTAGGCCAGTCCACAAGGAGGCCCCCCCATGCCAACTTGAGGGGTGAGGCCATCCTGGGCCTGTGGACTGCATGGCTGGAGATGAAGGCCAGGGTGGTGAGGATGAACCTGAGCCAAGTGCGGGCGCAAGGCGGGCTGCGCAGGCGTCACAGCAAAGTCACCCAGCGGTGCCCTGAGCACCTGCTGCTTTCAACTCTTAGCTGATGGACTCGATTGGAGGGAGGCACTTCATACCTTCTGGGCTTGGAGGGTCTCTCAGAATCTGCTCATGGTTTTGGCCTTGGGTTGGCAAGATAAGGCCTTGCAGGCGGTGGTGGTAGCAGTGATGGTGAGAAGTTGTGGCAGCCTGAGGCCTGGCTGGGTGGTGCTGAGAGCAGGAACGAGGCCGGGACCAGGCTGTCAGGGTCCCAAGGTGCGGCAGACAGGGTGGCCAGGTGGCAGGTGGCAGCCACTAACCTAACTTCAGGAGCTGCCTCCATATACCTTGGTCTTGGACAGCCCCTGCTCTCACCCCAGGCCAGGAAAGGACTCGCAGGGCTGACCAGAAAGGCCAGCTAAGGACCAAGGCCTGAGCTCCTGGGGCCTCGCTCTTATCTCTCTGGGGCAGAGTGCACATACCCTACAACCTGACCTCTAGCTGTGGCATCTGGATGTAGTAGTAGCAGCTGCCATGTACTGAGTGACAAGTCCCAGGGGTAGCCACTCATGGCTCTCAGCCCCGAGGTCCTCACACCACCCATGAGGCCTTTCTGATATCGTCACCATTTACAGAGGAGAACGTGGAGCCCCAGGTAGGGAGGGGCAACTGCCCACGATCGCACACAGGTGGCAGGGGCGGCACTAGACCCTGGACCACATCCGTCAGATTCCCCAGATGCCCATCTCTGCATGTGCCCACGGCGCACGGTTACCATTTAGCTCTATAGCAGTGATACTGTTTGCAATGCCACCAGGTGAGAGGCTGCCTTTGTGGCTGCTGTTAGACTGCAAGCCAATCCCCATTTCCTGGGAGGGCTGTGCTCTTCTCTGGGCTGCGACGGTTGCCAGCTTTGGGGAGAAGGACCCCAGGAAGAACCCATCCTGACCTTGCCCCCACGTGGTTTGGTATTCCCCAGGCCTCCGTTCCAGCCTTTGTTAAGAAGGATGGGGGGATGGGGAAGAAGGGAAGTGAGGCAAGGCAGATGGGAGGGCAAATGCTCCAGGATGAGGCCCTGCTGGGCAACCAGGGCCAGTCCGCCTGGAGAGGAAGGAGACTGGAAAGGTCACACTGCACGGGCCAGCACCAGGTTCAGCCCCACACTCACTGGAACCCGTGCCCCACCCTCAGAGTTAGGACCAGGCTCAGTCTTTAACCCAATGGCCTACTGGGGCTACTGCGAACAATAACAGCTAAAACCCAACTCCAGGCACAGCAGGGCCTGCGGGAGAAGGGCAAGGTAGTAAGGCGCGGCACGGGTCCAGACCACCCCACCTACTAGAAGCCCCTGCACTGTGCATGAGCTCCTCGGGCGGCGCCTCCTCCTCCCCATAACAGAGCACCCTGCAGTGTGCACCTTGGAACCCATCCCATCCTCACAGTAGCCCTGGGACCCAGCAGGGCAGACAAAGAGGAAACTGAGACCCAGAGAGAAGACAGGCTTTGCTCAAGCCCCAGTACGACGACAAGAACACCTAAAACCCCCAGTGCCAACCTTGAGAGGCTCGGGGTGAAGGTCTCTGTGTGCTCCAGATGGAAGGTGATGACTCAAAGCAGGGTGTAACCCCACGGCCCAGAAGCCCTGCTCCCAGGAGTGCTCTGGGGACAGGGCCACAGCCTGGCAGGCTGCGGCCCTCATAGGGACCATCAGGGGACCTGCTGGCTCAGGGCAATCACCAGCCACCATACAGTCACCAGCTCAGTGCTGCTGCACTAGGAACAGTTCCAAAGTGTTGCACGTGGATCATCTCGCTCCATTGCCAACACCCCCCATGAGGCAGGTACTATTATTGTCTCCCTTTCACAGAAAATAGTAACCGAGGCAGAAAGGATGCTGCCTAAATTTGGCAGCAAACCAGTGAGTAGCAGAGCCAGGACTAGGCTCAGAAAGGCTGCACCTCTCGAATGACTGTCCCCCTCTGAAGCCAGTCTGGCCATTCTCAATGGCCAGATAGAAGCCTCAGGCTGGAACATGTAGTCTGACTGCAACATGGACAAAGGTCCATGGTCTGGCATCCTGCAAGGGAGGACCTCAGAACTGCGACTGTCACTCACCAGCATCCCCCTCCTTGCAGCCTTTCCCAGTCCCATACCTGGCTCCTGTAGCTCCCCTGGTCCCACATACAGCTCCCACAGCATCTGAGGCTAGTGCTCCAGGGAGGGCTATCAAGGCTGGGACTGCTATTTCTGCTGCACATACATCCTTGCTTTGTTGCACTCAGTTAAAGGATCTGCTTAATTTCATTCCAGCCTGATGGTCTCTGTGACACTGCTGAGTTTACTAAAGAGGGACTTACTGCCCAAGATCCAAATTGTGCAGAGCTGCTTGTGAGTAGTTTGCATACAGGTGCTGAGCCGGGTGGCCACAGCCCCCTTTGCTGTGCTGGCATCACGAGGTGTTTGCCTCAGCAGCGTGCAGTCACAGGAGTAAGCCAGCATTGCCTGCCCTGGTGGAACCGTATCCGCTGCAGCTGGCTGGGCCCCAGAGTTGCTGTGAGCAACCAAGGCACGGGCACTAGCTGGCTTATTCTTCAGCCAGCCCCTCTGCACTGCCCTCTGTACAGGAGGCCCAGGGCCACTCACCGTGGTTTCATCTTCATGGAGCACCTGGTCGTAGCCGCTAAGTGCGACGCAGAAAATGATGGCCGTGACGTCCTCAAAGCAGTGGATCCACTTCTTGCGTTCAGATCGCTGGCCCCCGACGTCAAACAGCCTGCAGGGGGACAGGGAAGCTGGTAGGTGCAGGATCCAGGCAGGTGGGATGAAGCTTGGTAGTCAAGTTGAGTGTGCCCTGTTGGGCAGGGGGATGGGAGTACATGGGGCTCAGAGCCTTGACCGGGGTCCTCCAGGTGCTGACAGCAAGCCAGGCCACTGCCAGTCCTAGGGTGGTGGGAGCCATCATTGTCCCAGGGGTCTGTCCCGGTACCCTGCTGTGCTCACATGTAGTGACTCAAAGACCTGCCCTTGCAGCTGAAGTATTTTACTAAGTGTCTGCACCTGAGTTAGCCCCCACACAGTGCCTCTGAGAGGTCTCCTCTCCTGGTACATTAGCTTTCTGTTCCTTTCTGGGCATGTGCTCTGGGCAAACTCTAGCCCACCTGGAAGGAAGGCTGGCAGGAACCCTCACCTGTTACATGGGTGGCTGAAGTGAGCCAACGAGAGGCTGAGGATGCATCCAAGCTCCTGGTGAGAGCCCAGCCATGGTGGAGCTGGAATCTGACCTGGGTCTGGCTGTAGACAAAGCTATGCTCTCAGCTCTGCTCTGCCTGCCCCTCCCCGGCGGAAGAAAGCCTGGTCTCTCCTCCCCTCATCTGCCAGGGGACACGAGGGCTGTGGGCAAGACTACGGGCAGGTGAGACCTATTATGTCTAGAAGTAAGAGCCCAATCTCGAGTGGGAAGCCCTGCAGCCTCCTAGACCCAGGAAGCCTATTGGCAGGCACCTGCTGGTGGTGGGGGCTGGGCTTTACCCTGGGCAGACAGGACCCCTGGTCCCTCCAGACAGAAGAGGACAACTGCAGGCCAAGATCAGAGTGGGTTTGGAGCCAAGAAACTGGTCTGGTTCTTGTCTTATCATCACCTCCTGTGGCTCCTGCTGCCTGATCTGAGTTGCAGGGGTGGTGGCCCTTGGCCTCTGAGCCACTCCAGAATGCTTATTCTCTGCTTTGCCTGCTGGGCAGTGCTGAGCCAAGGTCTCTGTCCTAAACTCCTGACAGGTGAGCAGGAGACAAGGAAACTGGGTCTTATCTGCCTACTGCCTGAGGTCCCTGCCCTCCCCGTCCCCCCCCCGTTCTGTCTTCCTGCTCCACCTGACACCCCTTAGCTATACCTAGAAGGCAGGACAGGGGCGGGCAGGGGCTCATAGGCCTCAGAGCATGGAGGTTACCCAGGGGAAGCACAGTACTCTAGCAGGGCGCGAGGAATTGGCCTTCCTCCTCAGACCTCTGTTCTGAGGCACTCACAGCCCTGGGGTCCTAGCTGTGATCTGTGCCCAGGAAAGCCCTGCTCCTCTCAGGCCTCTGGTTCCCCAACACACACCAGGAGCGGGGATGAGTTTCTCTCAGCCCTTCTCGCTCTGAGATTCTGTGGGTCCTCAGGGTCTCCCAGCCCTATTCCCTGCTTCCAAGTAGCCTTAGAGGGGCTGCCTGGAAGATCCTTCTCTGTCCCTCTCCACAGGAGGCACCTTGGGGATAGGCTGGCCCTCCTTAGTCCACCCAGTTCTATTGCTCCCTCCAGCCACACATCAGGACCCTTCTGCCGGAAAATGTCCCTGCTTACCGCAGCCCCTGAACTTGGCAGAAACACCTACAGACAGCTGCCTTTGGGATCTAACTGCCTGCCCCAGTGTGAAAGCTCCCCAGGGCAGGGCAATGTCTGGGTGTTCTGGATATGATGTGGCTGGGAGGCTTGTCTCCCACCTCTCACCCAACCTCGCCAGGGCCTGGGTATCCCCCTGGGCCTCACCTGAAGTGGAGGTTCTTGAATGTGAAGTGGGTTTCTACGATGCCGGTCGTTTTGACCCTGGTTCGAAGGATGTCCTGTTCAGTGGGCTGATAGTCGGCGGCCCCAATCCGATCCAGGCTGTCCAGGTAGCTGGGGACAGCAACACACAAGGGACCATGGGCCAACCACCTGGGTATCACTCAGGGCTTGCCGGGCCACCCGCCTTCAGAGTCCTGCTTCAGCCAGGGTCCCTTGAAGGCTGACGGTGGAAATGACCATGGCCGTCCAGGGCAATGGGGGGGGGAGGTGTCAAGTTGACCAAGGAAGTGGAGTTTATGACTCTGGCCTCGCATCCCCAGAGAGCTTGACAGAAAGGGGTGATGTTCGCAGTTCCAGGTACACTCAGACAAGACCATGCTTTCATATGAGACTATAGTATTTATAATACTGTTTGTTTTGTATTTCATTTAAAAAAATAATAATGGCCAGTAGGTAGGTTCTATTCTTCACATGTATAGTGTGTTTCATTCTTAACTTCTGCATTAATGGACTGTTTTAAATTAGAAAATCAGGGCTCAGAGGAGGTAAGCGCCTCACCTGAGGGCACACAGCTGTGAACCAGGGCTTGACCTGGACGCCTGGCCCCAGTGTCTACTCTCGTAGCAGTCTGTGGACCTTTGAGAGGCTCCCAAATTTTGGTCCACTTTTCCACACTTTACGCCTCCCTCTCGTTTACTGTGGGGGCTGAGTGCATCTTCCCATTTGATGTTCTTGCAGGGGAGGCTTGAGGGTTTCATAGCCACATAGGGCCTAGGCCTCCCTAGGACCCAGGTCTTTGGAATCAGGGCTCTCTCCCCTTGCCACCAGGCTCTGGGGACTCGTGGGCCTTTGCACTTCACCTGCCCGGGCCACGGGCCAAGCACTCAGAGAAGCTGCTTGCAAGGGGCTCTTTATGGGTTAGGTTTGGATCCAAAGCCACGATAGGATATGGGAATCCAGGAAGGGGAGCTGGGCCAGCTCTAGAGGATTCAGTGATCCACAGGGCAAGCCAGGTCACCCATCTCTGGTGCCAGGCCAAGTCATACACAGCCTCAGGGGAGAAGCCCTGAATGTTTGAGCCATGGGACAATGTGGTTGCATGTGTTGCAGGACCTGGCCTGGCTACATTCACCATAGCATGAAGGTGAGAGTGCTGAGCAGCTCATGGACGGCTGGGAAGGGCAGACACTCCACCAAGGTGTTTACTGATAAGCCAATAACACACTGTCGGGACTCAGGCTTTTCCACAAGTGGGATGAGAGCCCTGGAAAGTTCTGGCCAGATTGTTGATAGATGGTTCTGCGGCTATGGTGATAGCCAAGTGCATGCTGGACAGGGGCTAGAGGGAAGCGGAATGCTTGCTGCTCCGTGCAAAGGGGGCCACCTGCTGGGGGTATGAGATGAAGAGGTGGAAGATGCCCCACCTGGTAGAGTGAAGTATGGTTGATGGGAGGGGAGGGTGCGGCAGAGAGGGACCCTCAAGTAGAAGTCAGGAGGGAGGGCTGAGCTGGTGGTAGGGGTTGGAGAGTTGTCTTCACTGGGAAGACTTCAAAACGACCAACCAGGCTGGGAGGATCACCCAGGTACTGGCCCTCAATAGGAAGAGTGTCTGGGATGGATGGAGGTCAGGAATCCCAGGGGGCTGAGCAGCAGGCAGTGAGGTCATCCGAGAAGGTGGCCTGCGGGGGTGGTGGGTGGGAGCCAAGCCCAAGGGGCTGTGAGGAGGGGTCCTGGAGGCAGAGCAGGCTGCAGTGGAGCAGAGAGGCTGCTGGTGCTGAAGGGAGCGGCTTCAAGAGAGAAGGGGAAGAGGAAGGCAGACAGCCAGCAGGGACAGTTCAGCAGGGGACTGGGTTGGGGAGCCATGGAACCCTCTTTCATAGCCCCTGGCTGGATGAGCCCTGGGGTCTAGGGTTTCCGGGTGCTATCTCAGAGTGACCATTCAGAAGGAAAGGCTGGCCAGGTTCATGGAGGCTCCCCATCCTCTGAGCCCTGTCCTCCCCCGGGAAGGGCTGGGCTGGGCTAGGAGGTACTTGGAGATCAAGGCTTGAGGATATAAACAACACCCACTGGGATCACCATATCAGGCCTACCCTCTCCCTTCTGTCACAACAAATCCACTTTTATCTGTTTTATACACTGTGCCCACAATTTGGTCACAAGACAAACTCTGACTGCTTCACTACCACCAGCATGAGCACCAGCACCAGTATTCTGGAAACACGTACGGTCCTCCTGCCCTGACAGTCTACTCGTCCCCTCTTTCCTGCTGTGGGACCCCTCCCAGAGGAAGGACTTGGAAGACCTAACCCTGGATAACAGGAGAGAACGGCGATATTATAAACCCTGTAAGTGGAAAATCTGAAAGGAGACAGAGGTGAGAGAGAGAGAGAGGGAGAGGGAGAAAGACGGAAGGTGGATTTCCTCAGCTCACTTGTGGGGGAGGGGAGTTGACAAATACCGACTCAAGTTTCCTATTTAAAGTTATAAAGGTAACCACCGGAAGAACTAAAAATAATCCTGCAACTAGCAAAATACTGGAGGTGGAGGTAGAGAGAGCTGGAAGGAAGAAAGGTGAGCTGAGTTCCCCAGATTTCACAGTGGGGGTCAGAAATACTGTTCTAAGTTAGAAGATCAAGTGTTTCTGGATGTCACTGGGACAAACGAACAGAAACGGGCAGAAGTGGGAGGGGCAGGCTTGGGAGTGGGAGGGGGCTTTATGTCCCTCTGTGTTGTTTATCATTATTTCTGCAGTGGACTCCTGGTATCCTTACTGACCTAGGTAAAAATTTAAGTGGAGTATTTGATGAGCTGCCAAAAGACAGACCTGGGTGGGGGCGGGCAGGGAGAGAGGGAGGAGGCCTCTCTGGCCCCCAGGCTCTCCTGCCGGCTCTGCTCTGAGTCATAGCCCTGCCCCCTAAGGAGTCTGTGGGGCTCATCTAGCTTGGGGTTTAGATACCCATCACCCAGGACCAGGGGACTTTGGCCTGTGCCCTGGGGACAGTATAGGTGTGCAGAAATGAGCTCATTCAGGTCCTTAGTTTGTTAGCCACCATCATGGCCAATAGAAACGTCTGTTAGTGAGTGCTGTGTGCTGGCCCTGCTTCTGTTAAGATGAGGGTTTCTCAGCACTACTGATGTTTTGGGTCAGAGGATCCTTTGTCATGGAGACCATCCTGCGCACCGCAGGCTGTGTGGCGGCATCCCTGGCCTCCACCCACTAGATGCCAGGAGCATTGCCCTCTTTGTGACAATCAAAAATGTCTGTAGGGCTTTGGGGCAAAATGCAGAGAGCTGAATCAGATCAGGTCGGAGTCCTGCATCCTCAGCTAGCAGGATAAAGCCCACGGGCTCCTCCTCAGAAGCTCCCACTGAACGAGTAGGTGCCAGAGTGCAAAAGTGGGTGTGTTTCCTGAGGGCTGAGGTGCAATCCCAGTATCTCCATGACAGGAGGCACGACCTTGACCAGACTGACCATTCCAGAGCTCTGAAGCCACTGATTGAGGGGCCAAGAGCATTTCACCAGGCAGGACATCCTTGGAGACACCTGGAGTGACAAAGCTGCAGGCTTATGACCCCGTCACTGTCAGGGTAAGAGCCTGGGGGCACTTCCTCTGCCCTTCCCCTTCCCACCCCCTCCTACCAGCTCTGGCTTTCTCCACTTCCCTTCTCTCTCCTTTTCTTTCTCCTCCTCTCCCTTCCCCCTTATTTAGTTATAACACAGCATTAAATACATGCCTGAGTATTTAACATATTTGTTGAATGCAGTTACATATTCCTTATCTTAAATACAGAAATGGAAATTTCATTATTTTCTATAAAAATAAAATAAATGGTGGTATTTAAGACATTTTTCTGCCTACATTTGGCTCTTGTTTTATATTCATGGGGTCAGAGGTGTTTTAAACCATGAGAAAAGAAAGGCTGCGACCCTGAAAGACTGCATTCTGCACTGCCAGGCACTCCTTAGGACAGCAGGTG